AAATCATTTGAGAACAAAAAAGGGGTCTTTTAAATCAATATAGCTTATGAGGGAATCACATTAGAAAGAAAAAGAAAAATGACACGTTTGAGCCAATTAACACCACTCTTAGATATACCAAAAGAGACCCTTTCCTCAAATTCTTTCAAGGCAATAGAAAGAAAACCATCGTGGATGAAAGGGGCAACCTTGCAAAATTTACAGGAAAATACCTAATCACACAATTTCTCCAGTAACGGTTAAAGATCAGTCCTATGAGTTCTCTCACTAACAGGAACACCGTAGGAGTTCAGTTTTCTGCAACTTCTGAAAAGAGCTGAATGGATGGAAAAGAGTTGTAAATCTCTCTCTTTCAAAAGTGTTTTTTAAGAATCTGCTTTTACAGAGTTCCTGAGTAAATAGCAGGAGAACGAGCTACAGCCTCAACCGTATCTCAAGGACAGAATCACATCTCCTGTGATAGTACCTTCTCCAACGAAAGACAGGAAACCAAGTCTTGGACTTTGACATCTTGCCACTATTGTTACCAACTGCCATTGCTATTTTTTTTTTCTCTTCATCCCCCTTACAATCAGCAAGCCACTTGGCCTCGCTGCTGACATCCCCTTCTCTTTCTCTGGGATGCTTTGCCATCTCCCTGCTCTCTTGCCCCTAACCCTTCCCCTTTCTCTTTCACTCTCTCGTTCTCTCTGTCCTTCTGAGAAGATAAAATAAACTTTTTAAATTTTATATCTGAGTCTCTGCGTGAGAAATCTTTCGCCACCCGTGCCATGAGCACCTACTAGGCTTTCCACCCTAACTATGGGCACTAGTCCAAAACTCCTATAACTCCTCTATCTCACTAATTATGTGGCAAATAGAAATAACTACCAGGTATAATGAAATCTTTGGTTAAATCCAACTACACCATGAAGCTAAATGGGGCTAAGAGAAGACACACAACCACGATGACTGGCTTCACTTTAAATGCATGTCTACAGATTTTAGCTGGGTCCTCAGTGCTGCCTGGCAATCCTACCATACTCCCAAGTTAATTCACTCTCCTCATCTTGATGGTAATTGCACACTTTCTCCTCTCTTCTCAAACATTAATGCTACTTACCCCATCATCGCTCTCAGATGCTGACCTTACTTCCTACTTCACTAAGAAAATAAAGTCATCAGAAGTGTACTCCCAAGTGCACCCCTTATAGTCATCTACATGAGTCTGTATCCACACATTCTGCCTTCCCTCCTATTGTTATGAATAAATGGTCCAAGCTCCTACCGAAACCCTTACAACCCAATACCATTCTCTCTCATTTGATCAAATATATTACTTCAGCACTCTCTTTCATTTCAATAGTTTCCTCTCTACTGTACCATTCTCATCATGATAGAAACATGCATTTCTGCATTTTCAAAAAACATTGATTCCACACCCCCCTGTAAATAAAGCCTCATTTCTCATTTCTCTCTTCCCTTTTATCAAAAAGAACCCTAAAACAGTCATCTATCTCTAAAACAGATCTCCTGTCCCTAATTATTCTTTTCTCATTTTTTTCCTTGATTCCACTCCCAACAAGGTTTTGTCCCAGTGCTCCACTCTGGTCAGGTTATCAATAACTCCATGTAGCATAATTCAGTGGTTAATTCTCAGAACTTATCTTACATAACTTATATAAGCATAATTTTGTACAGCTGATCAGAACCTCCTTCTTCAAACAACTTCTTCACATGGCTTCCAGGACACTTGGCTTCCTCAATACTGTGCTCTGCTGTTTTTCCTTCTATCGCACTAATTACGCTTTCTCTGTTGCCTTTGCTGGTTATTCCTCAGTTCCTTGACTTCGTAATGTTGGAGGGCCCCGGGTTCCCTGAGCCTGAATGGAGGTCCTTGAGCCTCTTCTCTTCTATATCTATGCTCTCTCTCCAAGTAATCTTCTCCAATTTTGGCTTTAAATACCATTTTTTCACTGATAATTCTTTAATTTATATCTTTAGTTTAGACCTGAACTACCAACTCTAATCTCTAATTCTTGACATTTCCACTTGGATATATTATATAAGAGGCATCTTAACACATCATAAAAGCAAACTCTTGATCTTTACCCATACAGCTGACATTACAAGTGTTCACCAATGTCCAGTTCTCCTGTGCTTAAGGGCACATGAATGACAATACATGGTAAGGCCATATGACTTGTTCTGGCCAAGTGAATATGAGCAGAAATGCCATGTCTCACTGCCAGCCCGGGCAGTGAAAAGCCCATTTATGGCTCTCCAATCTTTCCCTCTGCTGTGGCAACTGTAAATGCTCTATGTTCCATCAAGATGGTATATCTACAAGATGGTGGAGTCTCCAATCAACCAGGCTTCCTCAGGGATTGCAAATGAGCTTCCCAAGACCCACATGGGACATGTACCATGAGCAAGAAATATATATATTTAGCCACTGAGATTTTAGAGTTCTCAGTGATCCCAATAGAGCCTATCCTCCCCAGGTTAATAGTCCTGAAACTGCTTTCGCACAGCACTCTTCTCCATATCTGTAACTTTATCTTTTCAGCTGCTTAGCCAAAAACCTTGGAGTCATTCTTGACCCCTCCTTTTCTCTCATACTCCACATCCAATTCATCAGCGTATCCTATACCTTCCAAATACACCCGGAATCCAATCACCCTTACTGCTGCTACTACTATTCTGTTTTTCAAAAGACACTGGTAAAAAAATGATAAGACAAGTCACAGATTAGTAGAAAACATTTACAAAGCATATGTCTGATGATGGAATTATATCTAGAATATATAAAACTCTCAATGTTCATCAATAAGTAAATAAACCACCCAATTTTAAAAAATGAGCAAACGATTTAATAGACGTTTCATCAAAGAAGATATATGGATAGCAAATAAGCAAATGAAAAGATGCTCAACATTATTAGTCAGTGGGAAGTATAAATTAAATTAAAACCACAATGAGATATCATTACATTCATATTAGAATGGCAAAAATTAAAAAGATAGGACCAAGTGTTGATTAGGATGTGGAGCACTGGAACTTTCATCACTACTGGTGGAATATAAAATTGTATAATCACTTTGGACAACAGTTTGACAATTTCTTTAAAAGTTAAACATACATATGTGGTAAAAGAAAAGTGCTTATATATTGATAGAAATTGTCCACATCAGATGCTATTTATAGGAGATCTGTACTTACAGATGATTCTTCCTTCCTTGAAAGGTACTAAAACTTACACCTATCAGATGATACAGCCACTCCACTACTACGCATCACCGGGGAAATGGAAGCATATGTCCGCTTAAAGATTTGTACATGGATGTTCATAGCCAAAAATTAGAAACTGCCCAAATGTCCATCAACAGGTAAATGGATATACCATTTATGGTATACCTATACAAAATACTACTACTCAGCAATAAAAAGGATTAAACTATTGATAAACACAATATAGATGAATCTCAAAATAATTATGCTGAGTAAAAGAAGCCAGACAAGACAAAAAAAGAGAATATACACTGTATGACTCCACTATATAAAACTCTAGAAAATGCAAACTAATCTGGAGGGACAACAAGCAGGTCAGTGGTTGCCTGGGGAAGAGGAGTGCTAAGAAGGGCAGAGGACGAGATGTCAAAGGGACACAGGAAACTTTTGAGGGTGATGGTGATATAGTTGGGATATTTGTCTTCTCTAAGTCTCTTGTTGAAATTTGATCCCCAGTTTTGGAGGTGTTTGAGCCATGGGGGCAGATCCCTCATGAAAGGCTTGGTGCCCTCCTCCCAGTAATGAGTGAGTTCTCACTCTATTAGTTCCCATGAGACCAGGATGTTAAAAAGAGCCTGGCACCTCCTTCCCTCTCTCTTGCCTCCTCCTTTCTCTCTTGCCTGCTCTCTCGCCATGTGACATTCCTGCTTCCCTTTTGCCTTCCACCGCGATTGGAAGCTTCCTGAGGTCCCCACTAGAAGCAGATGCTGGCACCATGCTTCTTGTACAGCCTCCAGAACTGTGAGCCAGATAAATCTCTGTCTTTATAAATTACCTAGCTTCCCGTATTCTTCTATAGCGATGCAAAATGACTAAGGTAGACAGATATGTTCACTATCTTGACTATGGTGACGATTTCACAAGTGTGCACATATGTCCAAACATTAAACTATTTAAATTTATACGGTTATTGTATGTCAATACTTCAATAAACCTGTTTAAAAAAGAATATAGCAGGTACTCAAGAAATATTTTTGGAAAGCATAAAGTAGATGAAAATGAAAATAGATGTTAAGAACACAAAATCCTAAGCATGAACTGCAGTGGGAACCCATTATTTCTTCCCTCGTTCAACGGTATCCTTTTTTGAATGAGTGAATATGGGTAGAAAAGGAGGAATAAGCTGTCACAAAAAGTCCCTCAGTATAAAGTTGTAGGGTTTTTCAACCAAGGAAGAACCACCTATAACTAGCTTCTGAAATGGATAACTGCTACCTTGATAAACAAATACAATTCTTTTGCCAGTCCCCTAGCAGTTGAATAATTTCTTTGAACTCATCTTAGAAACCTGGTCTAATTTCTCCTTCTTATATCATCTTCACTTGCCATTAAACATATTGAACCTTTTCCCACCAATTTAGTTTGTTACAAATTTTTTAGAAACTAAGAACTGGCCAATAGTGGGTATCCTCAGTCTGTGAGTCTTGGATGAAAAGTCCCTTTTCTAGGACTCCTATGTCCTTTGTCTTCCAATTTCCCACTGAGGTGGAAAAAGATCACCATCTCCATTTCATTCATCTCCCTTGCTCTTCTCTTTGAAATCCTAAATTCCACTCATCATGATCAATTTTAACATCATCCTAATAAGTGAATACACCTGCTTCTTTCACAAGCTGCTATGGTTATAAGTTTTCTGCGACATGACTCCTTCATGTTCAAAACATAGTTTTGAACAAAATAAAAGCTCAGCATGCACTAATGTTTAAGTAAAGTTAGCCCCCATGACTCACCTCATTTCCACCAACTGCCTTGGTTAAAATGACTGCAGAAGACACAGGAGGAGGCATGCAACCTACTGTCTGTAAACTGAAAAATAAAATAAAATCCAATTATAAATAGTTTTTTTCAATTATAAATAGATTTTACTACAATTTATTCTAAAATAGCAGAGCTGAGCAAATGAAAATAGGAAAGTATTTATTGATGCACATGCCCTGTTGGATTTAGACAATTCTATGTGAGGCAACATGGCTTGGAAGATGCTGGAAATGCATGAGTTCTAAGCTCTCATTCTATTCACAGGCTTGGGTGGTTTTATTTTTTAAGTTATTTAAGCTCTTATTACACAACTGGAAAAGCAGTCAAGTTATTATGAGTATAGTCATTAAAAGATAACCAAAATGTTTAATCGTTTGGTAAGTGTATATAAGCTTAGGTTATTTTCAATATAAGTAAAAATCTTTTCCTTATACTTTTTGTAGAAGTCTTTTGGTAAAATTAAAGCTTTAAAACCACTTCTTCCAAAGTTCAAAAATATATAATAAAACACAACCTTACATTTTCTGATTTCTTTCTATAAAACAGCAGTTCTTAAACTTTCATCTCATAAAAGACATTTTCATGCTATAATATCATTATAGAAAAAGGCATGATGTAATCATATACTTCTTGCAGACACTGTAGTAAATTCTAGTATCTATTCTCAATTTGGTTTATATTAAATTGTGTGCATACTCCTAAGATCACGAGTCTATTCTCTCAGTTTAAGATAGAAAATAAACTGCATGACAAGCAAATGAAACTATGAATAGTAAATATAACTACTAAAAATAAAAAATAAAACATTACTCAGAATTCATATAGAATATACCTTCTGGGGAGAGCGAGTAGCTGACCCAAGTGGAAAGTTCCTACAGGGCATAGAGGACACAGAGTATCCGATTTAGATTTTGAATGAGTATGATTACAGATTACAGTGGACCCTTTAACAACACAGAATTGAACTGCAAGGGTGCAGTTATACATGGGCTTTCTTCCACCTCTGCCACCCAGAAAACAGCAAGACCAATCCCTCCTCTTCCTCCTCCTCCTCAGCCTATTCAACACGAAGATGATGAGAATAAAGACCTATATAATGATCCACTTCCACTTAATGGATAGTAAATATATTTTCTCTTCCTTATGATTTTCTTTTCTCTAGGTCACTTTATTATAAGCATACAGTTTATAATGCATGTAATACATAAAATATGTGTTAGCCGACTGTTTATGTTATAGGTAAGGCTTCTAGTCAACAGTTGGCTGTTAGTAGTTAAGCTCTGGGGGAATCAAAACTTATATGTGAATTGTCAACTACACAGGGGTCAGCATCCCTAACCCCCAAGTTGTTGAAGGGTAAATTGTATTTTTATTCATTTTTGTAAGAACATATTGTCTAAACTTTATGCAATGAATTTACATCAGCTCTGAAATAAGAAAAAAAATGAAAATGTTTTAATTCATTTTGATTGAAACATAAGAAAATACGTTTTATGGAATTTCCATCTCAATTCAGTTCAATATGACATGATCTTCTTTTAAGGTCTATTTTCCCCAGTGGCACTAAAGTAGTCTGTCCTATTACGAATTCGTAATCTCTGAGCCTTCCTTGTGGTCCACTATTATCATCACTAATACTAAGCTTTACCATTTGTAGTAGATACTATTCTAGATACTTTATATGCACTATCTCATTTATTTCTCAAAAGCATTTAAGATAAATACTATTATTATTCTTATTTTACTGAAAACTGAAGTTAAGAGCGAAGTTAAGTAACTTGCCCAAGCTCACAAAGCCAGCTACCCAGAGTTAAACTTTTAGTCTGGCATCCAGGGTCAAAGACTTACCTAGATCTCCTTCTCCAACCTCTGTGCCTGCTGTTCTCCCTACCGCCAACACTAGGGACATGTATTCTCAGGTACTTTTGATATTTCTAGCTTTTCCAATCTTTCTCTCACTTCTGACCCCTTCCCTTCTATGCACAAAAAAGAGAATTCTTTCCTATCTTTAAAAAAATCCCGAAACTATATATTGAATACATATGTCTTCCATGGGTAGGATCCTATACCAGGCTATTAAAAAAAGAAAAAAAAAAAAAAAACAAGCATAAGACATCATTCCTGCCTTCAAGGAGGCACAAGATTCAATGCACGAATATAGATAACTAACAACAAAATTATTACTATCATCTCCTAAAGATACAAATCCTGCTTTTTTTCATTGTGACTCACTGTTGACCTTCTTTAAAGGGTGCTCTACCTCCATGACCCCACAGATCATTCTCCCTTTACTACTCTAAAATGAGCCTTGTGCCCCCTCTACTAGTAAAAGTTGTAACCTTAAAAGTAACTGAGTCAGTATAGGGACAGGACTCAGGTCTTACTTCTGACCAAGGGAGGCAACATTGGACAGCATGACCCAGCCTAATTAACTTTAAAAGAAGAAAAAAAAAAAGTAAATTACCTCCTACCCACTGGAATTCAGCCCATACCCATAAAAGGACAGGGCCAAGCCATCTGTCTCTGGAGTAATGTTTTCCAAGACCACTGAAGCAAGATGCTGACACTAGCTGATAAGGAACCTGGCTGCAAAGAAACCAGACCTGTATGGATCGAACCTCCTCAAGCCAAAAAGGACCCCCACGCTGACCTTATCCTGCCTTTTCCCTCATTATAATCTCATTTTAATGCTAAAAATCACACCTGGGGCAGAGATTTAACATGCTAATGAGACACAGAACACATGAAAAAGCACGTAACAGAACTACACAGGCACAAGACAATCTCAACTTCCACCTGCTTAGATGGCACCCCTTTTCCCACCTAAGCCTCTTTAAAACTCTCCCTGAACGCCCCTCCAAGAGCCAGACTGAGGATTTTTCCTTTGTGCTGTCTCCCTCGTATTGAGGCTTGCCTCAATAAAGCTTTGCCTGTGACTCCCATTTGGCCTCTTACTATTAATAATTTCTATTACATAGAGAGCCCAAGGGCCTGCACCGGTAACATGAACAGTGATCTCCAAATCGCCAAATCTAAAACCCTTTTCCCATATTCATTTTGTGGACATTCTTGCTTCTCAGACAGAGCACTCTATTTTCTTGGTTACCTTCATACTTCCTCATTCCAATTTATCTTCTGTCTTTGCAACCAGCCCATTTTGGTTTTTTGCTGGCTCTCCGGTTTTCTTTCAAATCTTATTTTCAATATGTAGGAATACTTTCAAATTTACATTTTTAGCCCTAAATACCATTCTCAAATTTGTCACTGCCTATCACTACCACCTCAAACTAAGCATGTCTAATATTGCATATATTTATTCCAGCTTTATTGAGGTATACTTGACACATAAATATTGTATATATTTATGATATACAACACGATGTTTTGATATATGTACACATTGTGAAATGACTACCACGATCAAGCTAATTAAGATACCCATCACCTCATAGTTGTTTGGGGTTTTTTGTGTGTGTGTATGTTTGGTGAGAACATACAAGATCTACTCTCTTTGCAACTTTCAAATACACAATACACTATCATTAAGTATAGTCACCATGCTGTACAAAGATCTCCAGAATGAATTTATATAATTCCTAAAAAATCCATTTCCCCTCTGAATTTACGTATTTCTGTCAATAGACCAGTTTTTTCCTAATGATCCAGTTTGAAACTTTAGAGTTACATGTGACTCCACTTGCTCCTTAAAAATCAATCCATCACCACAACCAACTGTCCATTCTTCCCCGTAACTGTTGCCACCATCCCTGTTTAGATGCTTTTCACCCAAGTCTGGACACCTACAAATGCCTGCTGAATGTTCGCTCTACCTCCACTGTGTCCCTTGAACATAGCAAGGCAAGGAAGGAGCATGTGCTCAGAATGTCTTTATCTCAATGGCTTAAACATGATTCTGAGGCAGGAGTATGCATCTCCCTCAAGTTAACATACTAAGTGGGTACTTTCAAATTGGGGAGGAAGAAGGAGAAAAAACAGAGCTAGGAAGAGTTTTCTCTAAGTGAGTTTGAGCAAGTGAGTTTGAGTTAAGGCTTAGTATCTTAAGGTGAGAATTGTACGTTTGTTTTATTTAGCACACTGAGATTCTAAGTATTACTCTTCTAATAATAAACCCAGTATAATGCTATCAGACTAATCTTCCTTAATGACCACTTTTTAACACGTTGTTCTCTTGTTTAGTACTTTTAGGAGCTCTCTCTCCATCATCTATATCTTCAAATGCAAACTCCTCAACCCAGTAGTTCAGGTCTTCTGCAAGTTGGTTCTAAGGAAATGTTTTATCTCTCTGTCTCCCACTAATGCCTCAGTTTTGAAGTCTCTACTTTAGGAGTCCGACCTTTGCTGAACTGCTTATTCTTTAACTGATTACACCACTCACCTGACAAATCATATGCCTCTCCATCTTGGTTGATTACTATCTTATATATATGTCCCACATACCCACCTTGGTTGGAAGTTCCAGGAAGACACTAAAATGAATAGCTATCTTCCTATTCCTTGAGTGTCCTACACATGGCAGATACTCAGTAACTATTGGTTCTTGATATGCATAATACATAGTTGCTGTAAAATGATGTTACATTTATGTGGCATTTTATGCTTTTTGGTAAAATTTGATCTTTATTCTCTCAAACTCAATCTGGCCAAAACAGCACTCTTTCCCCCTCTCTTCCTAACCTATTTCTCCCCTGTTAAGTAAGTGATGCCACCAATTACCCAGTGGTTCATATCTAAAACCCAAAAGTCGCCCTTGGTTCCTGTCTGTCCTTCCTCTCCACAGAGTCTGAAAGCTCTGACTCTAAGATCTATCCAGCACACCTTCGTTTCTCTCCGTCTCACTGCTACCTCACCACGCGAGTCCCCACGTTGCTTTCCTGGCTTCCTCTCTATTCTCTACCACCTACTCTCCACGCGGCAGCCAGGAGAATCATCTGCAAATATAAATGAGACCACATCGCTCCCGCCTTTCAATTCCTCCAACAGTTTTCCGCAGCACTCAGAGTAAAACCTGAATGGCCTATCTCTGCACACCAGGCTCCTGCCTACCTTTCCACCTCCAAGGCATATTATTCTTCCTCTGTATCACCAGGCCTGGCCATCGTGGTTGCTTTGATGACCCGGCAACACGCCAGGCTTGATTCTGCCTTAGAGCCTTTGTACATTCTGTTTCCTTTGCCTAGAACATTCTGTCCCCAGAACTGTGCAATCTAAGTTAATCACCAGCCTGCCCACCCAACCACTTTCAACCATATCACACCGTACTTCTTTTTTCACATCACTTGTCTCTATCTTGCTCATCTGTTTACTTGTTTATCGATAATCACACGCCCTGAGTCTCCCCAACATGCAGAACTAACTGGCATTTCACTATTTCTTAATTCCTATAATAATTCCTGGCACATAGTAGGAGATAAATAAATGACTTGAATAAATGAATAAGTGATCTCAATTGATATCCCCAACATCTTTACTAAGTAGGCAGTAAAAATATGATTATCCATTTTATAGAGAGAGAAACTGAGGTTCAAAATTATTAAATAACTTTGCTCAAAGTTACATAGTATGTGAGGGATGGGGTCAGAACTCACTCTTCAGGCTCTAAGTTCAGTGTTTTAGCTATTATACTATAATGCTAAAATGTGGTGAGTTTTTAACCCCTTCAAATACTTTCTTTAAAATTGTTAAATCCTTTTAATAAACATGGTAACATTTTTAATGAAAAAATTCTAATAAAAATGTACTGTTAATTGAACTATTTTATCAAACTTAGAACAAGTGAAAAAGTAAATATTTTTTCTTTCTTATACATTTTAAAAATACATGTTATACTCAGCCATCACATGTTTACATTTGGTAAGATTTAGAATGCAAAGGAAAGCATCTAATAACAGCCCACACTATACACATGCATACAGATCTTACATCCTCTAGTCCTTTTTATATTTCTCCCAAAACCACTCTTTTAAATTTCCAGAAAAGTATCTATCCCAGAACTTTAAGATGAAGCATATAGGTGTATTTTAAGATTCTGTTAATTGTTTGAAGAACCTCCTTGATGAAACACTATAATTTTAAAGGAAAACAATAATGTTAGAAGTGTTTTTATTTCTTTATCAGGTAGTATGCAAAAGGCCTTTTGTATATAGTTGCCACAGAAACAATAATATCACTAGAGATGCCCCATTAAATGTAGAGCCTTCAAAAGATTTAAACATACCCTTTTAAAAGCCATTCATTGATGGGTGTGATTGATAAAAGCTGAAGAAAAAGCCATATTGCTGTCGGGAAGAATGCAAGTGTAAAGATCTGAATAAACAGATGCAGTTTTATATGCACCAAAGCACTGGTCAGCTCCTGGAAAAATGAAGGACACAAAATAAACAAAGGTAAGAAAGCTATTTCGGAAAAGAGATTGCTACTAAAATAACATCACGTGAGTTGCTTTTAATTTTGAGTTTTTTTCATAGCTGAACTTTTTATCTATAAGAATATGCATATGAGACAGAATGTCATGATGATTATATTTTTATATAAAATTGTTGAAATATTCTAATTTCTTTCAAATACATAATATGCTCTAACAATTCAGATTCATAAGATTCTGGACCAGGACTAAGCTAACTACCTTTACAATAGTATAGATTTGAGGATTGTTGACACTATAAGCACACATGTATGTTTACCTACATTAAAAAAAAAAAATCTTTTAAAAAAATTTTAACAGGACCTATCACATTTTAATTATGTAATCATTATTCATTACATCAAACCTATAAGGTCTCAATGTGGCAAGATATCACTGAATCTACAAATAATAATTTTTAAAATGTTTTCTTCAACGATGGTCTCTAACTCAAAATGGCTTCTCCCCCTACAATCTACTCACTAGATTCTTTGTTAACATTATCTGAATACCAGCTATATGCCACGATCTGAGCTTGTCATTTTACATATGTTATCTCAGCTAATCCCCATAATGACCCCATTAAGTAGATAATATTGTCCCCATTTTACTGATGAGGAAATTTGTTATCTCATCTAATTCTCAAAATAAACCCATGAGGTAGATAATATTGTCCCCATTTTACTGATGAGGAAATTGAAGTTAAGAGCTACTATACAGTGCACATCAGAATTAAGCTCATTTCCAGCATGCTTTCAAACCCATGCCTGCTCCTTCCACTGTATGACACTGCTACCCCAAGAGGGGAAAAAATGTACATTAAACATGACAAACCAGGCACATGTTATGAATCTTACAGCTAAAAAAGGATAATTAGTTAACCTCTGGGATTCAACTATATCTACATTTTAAAGCATTTGCATTTGAATCCGTGTTATGTGGTTATTCAGTTGAAATAAAACCAATCCAGAAAGCAGTAGAAAAAGTATAGTCCTTTAAAAAAAGCAAGTAATCATTAAAACATATTCGAAGATACCAGAGATTCACTCATTGTAAACATTGGACTATAACGGCCCCCCAGATCAAGTAAGAGGTTCAAGAGATCCTCAGCCTCAAAGACATTAGCCAAAGTTTATCAGTTTAATAGACAGCAGGTTAACCCAGATTCATTTACTAATAGCAACATTCTCAGATCTGTCTCACTGGGTACCACTATCTCTCTCCCTGTGTGAAGACATAGAGCAGTTACTTTTTTTTTGGTCACAAGATATCCCTAATGATATCTAAAGAATTTCTGGCAATCTGGGTCTAATTTAAGACCCCTGGGAGATACTGAGCCTACCAGAAGCCATGTTAGGCCCTTGGATCAGACCTAAGAAAAAAACAAGCCATCCTTACAATGAATCAGAATCTTAAAGTTCCACCCCAGATAAAACTTGAGCAACAGCAGTTCAGAGCATTTTTGACAGTCTTGAAACCAAATCTCATTTATATATACACAGAGGCATTTGATAAATACCAAATAAATATTAGTATTTTTTTATTTTTAAAAAAATCATAATAAAATGATTAGCCAGAATGCAGTAAGCCATTTGCATATAATTCTGATAGGAATAGAAAATGGCATAACTTTTCCAAAAAGCAATTTGGGAATATACAACAAGGACTATAATATAATTCACATTCTTGGACTCAAAAATTTTATGTCTAGGCATTTATCCTAAGGATATAAAAGGTGGTTACAAACATTTATACACAGAATTGATCATCACAGTCACAGCATTATCTATTAAAGCAAAATCTGGAAACAACTTAAATGTCCAAATATGGGAGAATTAGATAAGTATAACCAGAGTGTTGTGAGCTATGAAAAACTATGTTGATGAGGAAAGGATCTCTGCCCTACTTTATCAATAGGAGTGTAAATTGGCATAACCTATGGAGAGCAATCTGGAAACTCATTCCTTCATTCAAGAAATACTTACTGAGCACCTGGCACCATTGTAGGTACTTGGAATATCTATCACAATTTAAACTACCTATATCATTTGACCTAGCAATTCCACTTCCAGGAATTTATCCCTGACATATGTTCCCAAATGTGGGAAATGCCATATTTTTAGGTTATCCTTTACAACATGTTTGTAATAGCAAAACCTTGTAAATTACCTAAATGTCCATCAATAAAGGACAAGTAAAACATATCACAACACATCCATACAATAGAATACTATTGGGTGTACAAAAAGAAACAGGGTTCTTTATGGGTTGATATGAAACAATCTACAAGATGTTTTTTAAGTAAAATAAGGTAAACATCATATTATGCCAAACATTATAAAATACTATACTTTGTAGAGGGATGGGATACACATCTGTATGTTTTGCAGAGAATATCTCTGGAAACGTACACAGAAACTGCTAATATTGGTTGTCTCCAGAGAAGAGAACTAGATATCTGGAGGAGGGGTGAAAGGAAGACTTATCATACATAAACTTTTGTACCTTTTGATTCTGAACTATGTAAATAAATCATTTGTTCATAAAAGTAAACAATTTATTTTTATTATAAAATATAAGTAAAGAAAAAATTGAATAATAGTAAATTACATGAAAAATTGTTATACAATGTTACATGGAAAAAATAGGGTAAGATTATGTATGTATATGTGTATATGTCTGCAAGTATGTGTATACACTTACATAGATATACAATTTTACTTTTAAAAATATTTTGTTTTTAAAATATTCTATATTAAAATGTTTTAAAAAAGGACTAAAAATGCATGAATGTTAATAAGTTATTTTTATTCTTTCTAATCTTTCTATAATGAGTAAATACCACTTTTATAATCAGAAAAATGTTATAAAAACTAAATGTAGACAGAAAATGCTAGCTGACCTAATAAATGATAATTAGAAATTGACATTGCATCAAAGTGTTGTACAGTAAAGAACCCAGCAAAATGAGTCATACCAACCTACCATGTTGGGCCATGAGGGGCTTCTTAACAAAGGGGAAGTGTTTCTAATAAAGATTTTCAAGATTGTCACAAAAAACCCAGGGTCATCTATTTTCCATATCTTCTTCATACAACCATAAAGATGAAATAAATTAATAATAGAAAAGAAGCAAGTAAACCCTATAAAATCCAAAATAGTATTATTCTATATACACCCATGTAGAATTTAGGGCCACATATTCAAATAAATGCCATCATGAATAATTGAAAAGTTGCCTCTGCATAACATTTTGTTTATTCACATGTAATACAGGTCAAATTCCATTAAAATAAACTTAAGGAGACACTCCACATAATGTACTGATTATACCAGAGTCTCACTGACAGCATCAAGAATTGCTTAAAGCCAGGGCTCTGACTGGGACGCAGAAATATTTTCATTACATACCAATTTCCCTTCTAACCCTTATTTGACCTTTATCTGATTCACTTTCTGAGAGTCAGTCTCATAGCTCTGGGCTTGAAACAAGCAGCATATGCCTAAAGTTAAGAATTTGCTATATTTACTTTTCAGCTAATGAGATTAAAAAACAATAATCTGTTTAGAAAAATAAAGAAAAATCTGTATATTCTGCCCTATTCAGGACACTTTTTCAGGCCTTGAGTCTCCTGCTCATCTTTGCTTCCAACCCCAGCCCAAGCACAGTGCCTTGTAGCCATGGCACTTAATTGGTATTTGTTTAAGTGAATTGACCCTGCCACAGTCTGTTAAGTGACAAATACTCTGAAACTGTAGGTTTGAAGTTAGCTAAACATAAAATAAATTTTAAATGTGACCTTATTTCACTTCACTATAACATAATTTCAGAAACCATTTCAACAGGTATTTCAAAAACAAATCATCAAATGTCATAAAACTGAAGACGTGGCATTGCATTAGCACAGTGTCCTTTATAATTTCCACAAATTAGTAAAACAAATTTTAGAATACACATCATTAAATCAATGTATGAGTAATAAGAAATGCTCAATATAAATCAAACTTGAATGGGATCAACACAAATGCTTTCAAATAAACTCAATTCAATAATAACTTACTGTCTTCTGTGTGCAAAAATGCACTATCCTAGGACCTCATAAGATATATAAATCATAGATCCAGCTGAAATTAATTTAGGATTATTAATTAGAAAACAAATAACAAGACTGCTACTTCCTACTTAGTAAGTTAGGTTACCCAGGAAATTAGCAGGGCTTAGAGATGATTTAATAGTACACAATGATGCAATCTAGGACATCTTAAGTTAAATGGCTTTTGAAAATGACTTAATGTATTAGTTTGAAAAGGGCCTTTGATGGAGGAAATGGCTTTGATGGTTACTTAGATACCATGATAAACCATGAGATCAAGGCACTTCATCATTACATCCAAATTAGCTGAATGACTCTGAAGATTTCTTAGGTGCTTACAAAAGAAGTTGGTCCTTAGAGAAATGCTGATAGCTGTGACATTCTTCCTTCTTTAATTCCTGCATCCCACACAGTTGGCTGCTTTACAGAATAGCATTAAGTAAGAAGCTAAGGAGTGAGAGAAATCAAGTCTCTTGCCAGATTTCCCATGTCATAAGTAACAGCTGTAGCCATTAAGCAGCCACCAGGGGATGTAGTTAGAGCAACGTCCCAAGTAGAGGACTTGGGTAAGGCAGCTGCTCCACAAAGAGCATTAGCCAAGGCCAGCAGGAAGACCTCCAGGTAACTATCTTCCTGTATTACTCTGTCCCACATTTGAGAACCAATATTAGAACTCAGGTGTTGACAGAAAAAGCCTGTGCCCTGTAAGCACTAATCATGGTCCTTTTATATCAATATTGTTTACAAAAACTAGAATTTGACATATTTAGGAAATTCCATTCTATGCCAGTTTTTTCCAAAACAGCAGGTAATTAGCAAGAATATCTGGAATTCTTGAGACACAATTTATCAGTTGTAGACACTACATACTAATCCTACATGTATCAAAAAATATCCCCCAAAAACATTTATACCAACCTGATAGCTACAGAAGACATAAATTTAGTAAAATAATATTTTTTCATGTTGTTACTAGGGTGATCTAAGAAAGAGTTAACTAAATTTGGTCTTCATTCAAATCACACTTAAAAGAAAATGAAGGTAAAATAAATAAAGGCAAGAAATAACACTAAGCCAGAATTTTAACTTTTAAAGCCATTTCCAGAAAGAAAAAAAAAATCCTTCTTACAGTAAGATTTTCCTATCTACATAAGAATGAGCATGTTACAATAACTTTATGTAATTTCTTCAAAAGTAAATGGGTATTTCTCCTCTTTTTTTTCTTCCATTGTAATTCAAAAGAGAATCATAAGTCCTACTTATTCCTCTCTCCCGTGTAAAAATGTCTGGATTTCTTTACTTCCAAGAGAAGCCCATGTTCAGTGAAACCTGGATCAGTAAATAGCATTATCCATATGGTCTGTATAAGACTGTGATTTGCATGAAAAAAATACCAATATTCTATTAATTAGTTAATATTGTTAATTATTAATATTTAATAGATATGCTAAGGAAGAATATGTTTTTTAAAAATAAAAATTAGTTAAAAGTTATAACAAAATAAGCAATACTGAACAGCATGAGTCATGGGAAAAAAGGAAGATCCACAGAAGTTACAGAAACCAAAACTAAACATCAGTAGCTCAACTGTGCCCAAGCACAGCAGGCACCACTGTAGTTACCACCATAAGTTGAAGAAGACATGAAGATGCTTCATGTTCATTTGCCGTATTAAAAGCATATTCATTATAACCACATCCTTAGGGCCCATACTGCTCAACTACAAAGTTTTTATAATATGCATACATAGGAACGAAACACAAGTCCTTTGCACACAAGGACACAAGTCTTTCAAGATAACCTGAAGTCCAAGTTATCTTCTGTTATAGTGAAGCCTTCAGATTATAGCTATAAATGGCTTTACAAGAGGATTCTGAAATTTCAAGTACAAATTAAAATTTTCTCCCTGCTTTTCATGTGCTCCATAGGTGATAGTACCTCCGTTTTTAATGACAGTCCACTGTTAAAGAATATTGTTGCAACAGCAATGTAGGATACAGTTATTTCTGGCTTCAGTGGTCCTAAAAAGAGAAAAATGAGTTACTGTTAGAAAAAAAATTCCAGTAGATACCTTGGTATAAAAGAAGAATCTATTGCAGGACAACAAATGTTCCTTTAGGTTTTAGTGCTGCCCCTAGGGTCCTACTGTCCTGACAGAGGTAAGCTTTTGTGTGATGCAGCCTAACTCAAGAGAGGATTTTCGAGAGGGCAAGGACCATAGCTGTCTGGTTTAGCACAGTATCCTCAGACCAGAAGAAGCAGCACACAGGAGAGCATGTAAGTAACATCCTTCAACACAGGTCCTAACTGTATCTATCATGGTATCAATGTTTATTTAACAATCAAAATACCCCTGAACCCAAAGAAGAGACTCAATGGAAGAAGTTCCCTTCTCTTGAGCAAATATTTCTTTATTCCTTCTAGGATGCCAGAAATAAAAGCCTGTAATCATGTATGCATTCACTATTCATTCTACAAATACTTTTTGAGCACTTACTATATTATATGAATGAGATAATGCATATAGAGTACTTAATAATATATTGCTATGATCATAATTGTTATTAAATTGTTCTACACTCTGGGGATACTGTGATGAACCAGACAGACCTGGTCCTAGCCCTCCAGGAAATCCTCTCTGGAATTAGTTTGGCTGAACTGCAAATATGTTAACACTATGAGAACAAGAGGGGCAATCCTGATATTTAAAGTATCATTTGTGACTTGTACACAATTGGCTTCATGACCTAATGTACTAACCAAAGAAGAATATACTTTTAAAAGATGAAGTTCTGAGAAAATGACACTTACATACCAGTGGTTCTCCAGAAGTGGCAATTTTGTCCCCCGCCCCCAGACATTTGGCAATGTTTGGAAACTTTTTGGTTGTCATAACTCGGAGTAGAGAATGTGCTACTGGTATTTAGTGGGGAGAGATCAGGAATTCTGTCAAACCTCCTGGAAGGCACACAACAGCCCCTCCAACAAATTATCATGTTCAAAATGTCAATAGAGCCAAGGCTGAGAAATCCTGGACTATACCAACATTTTAAATTCTGAGATCATCTCATACTTGACATTTTATTCAGCCTTCTTATACTTGATTGAGTAGTGTCCCCCTCCAAAATTAATGTCCACCCATGACTTGTGAATGTGACCTTATTTGGAAATAGGGTCTTTACAGATGTAATCAAGTTAAGATAAGTTCTTCTAGAATTAGGGTAGTTGTTAATTCAATGATCCCGGTACTCTTACAAGAAGGAGGAAATTTGGACACAGACACACACAGGGAAGATGACCACATGAAGACAGGCAAGGACTGGAGTTACACTGCCACAAGCCAAGGAATGCCAAGGGTACCTGGAAACCACCACAAACTAGAAGAGGCAAGGAAGAATTCTTCCCCAGAGCCTTTGGAAGACATCTCGACTTCAGACTTCTTCCAGAACTGTGAGAGAATAAATTTCTGTAGCATTAAGCCACTTGTTTTGTGATAATTTAACGTGGCAGCCCTAAGAAACTAATACATCCCCTAAGCAAAACAACAGGACCACAATCACAGCTCCTTCATACCCCTAAACCCTCCACTTGCTCAGTAAATGGACTGAAGACCATTTACCAAAACCAAGCTCAGGAAAAATCACCATTTATTCATTCAACAAATATTTATTGAGAACCTACTATGTCATAGGCATTTGAGGTACAACGGTGATTAAAAGAAACAAAGATGTCCTCAAACACTGTAATAAACTTGTTAATATGCTTGGCATTTACACAAATCATTTTGCTGAGGTCTGAGAAACGGGAGCAAAAGGGAGAAGGCAAGTGCAAAACGCATTACATTTGGGAGCAGTGAAGGTATTCAAAAGCTGTTAAAAAGAGTTACATTATACTCATGAGTGAATCTGTCTCAGCAGCTCACACTTCGAAGTATTTCTTCAAAAGCTGATGAGAGTAATTCAGGAGCCGATTTTAAAGTCAAGGCATCTAGCTTCTTTGGGAAGAAGACATTTCCCAGGAATTTTAAAAGACTTGTTTTTTAAAACCAACATCATTTTTTATTTTCCTCCAATCCCTTGCTTTTTATGAGACCTTATTCTGGTTCATTGTAGTTCCACCCACAAGGGTGCAACATGAGGGGTTAGAGTTAGCAATATGGTAGCAAATGAGAGCTCAGGGACATGTACAAAGATGCATCTCCACAGCAAACACATGGCACTTACTTGGATCGCGTGTTTCTTTGGGGTAGCTAACGTATCTACTTTAATTGGCCAACTTTTCTTTTTAAGAGGCTAACTCCACCCACACTCCACACACACATACATAAATATGCATAACTATTAACTAATTGGCATTAATTCAATGGAAGAATTCCTGACTTTTAATGTTTTAAATTCTTGAGAGAGAGAGTACACCATCTTCTGTATTAGATACACATCAAAGTAACTCTAATCCACGAAAGGAGATGGGTAAGGATATTCCAGGGCTACCTACAATGCACCTTTTAGGGGGAAAGAGTAATTGATTTTGATTTAGAGAAACCCAAGTCCCCTCTGAGACATAATCAACTGAGAGGCTAACAGATCACCCAACTTGGGAATGCAGAACAAGAAGTCATCTAGGGGGGCCAGGCGCGGTGGCTCACGCCCATAATCCTAGCACTCTGGGAGGCTGAGGTGGGAGGATCCTTTGAGCTCAGGAGTTCCAGACCAGCCTGAGCAAGAGTGAGACCCTGTCTCTACTAAAAAAATAGAAAGAAATTAGCTGGAAAACTAAAAATATATATAGAAAAAATTAGCCGGGCATAGTGGTGCATGTCTGTAGTCCCAGCTACTCAGGAGGCTGAGGAAGTAGGATTGCTTGAGCCCAGGAGTTTTAGGTTGCTGTGAGCTAGAGATCGGAAGAGCACATCTCGCCCGGGCAACACAGTGAGACTCTGTCTCAAAAAAAAAAAAGAAGTCATCTAGGGCTAAAATAAAAACTTGGTAAATATTTGCACAGAAGTGAGCGTTGAAACTATTATAACATATAAAAATGATGTGTCCCCTCCCCAAGCTAATAACTATATCCACCAAGTCACTAAAATAATCAGATTCAGATCTTAAGGTGGCTATAAAACTCAAACTGGAAATATGCTTTTACTTTTCCATTAAACATAAAAGAAAAAAAGGTTTATCAACAAAATGGAATGGGCTAACACAATCAAAAGAAAAATTAGCCATAAAAAATGAAACAATTTTTGGGCTCTGAAACCCATGTGTTTTAATGGGAGGAAAAAAAGAAAATGTTTTTGGAATACTTAAGAATGCAAGGAACTATTACCATTTCACAAAAGCCACTCATCACCAAAGTAAATTTCATTTCTAAACCTAATCTAAGATATTTTAAGATATTCATGCTAATATACTTAAGGTTATAGCATGTTTCTGGTTATGTTTTTTTAGTGGAAAAACAAAGCAGTTTCCTTTTTAGGATTAATGTCTTATTAACAACAATAATTTAAGTGAAGATGCAGGTGGAAATGAAAAACTTACTCTCTACTTTCAAAGAAGTAAACCTTTCTCTTCCCAAGAATGAATAGCACCAGTGTTCAACTCTCATAAACTCTAAAGTGTACAAATAGCTCAGGGCTTCTGTAGTTCACATTGGAACAGATTATCATATTTACATCTACTATAGCTTTTTAATTTCAACCTTCTTTTATATATTTAACAATGAAATTTAATTTATTAAAAAGAATAGTGAACTAAGAATTAAATTATCTAAGCTGTTATACTTCTGCCCATTTGGATAGTCATTCGACATCTCTAATTTAGGGTTCCCGTATCTATAAATTTCCGGCCATATTAACTTACCAATTGGCCGCAAAGGTTTTTTTAAAAAGGAGGTTAGACCACATGTATGTGTGATACTTTAAATGTAGAAGTCTTATACTTAAAAATAGTGTAGTGATTAAGGTATTAATCCAGGCAAAGGCGAAGTGAGCATCTTAACTACAAATTGAAAACTACCAAAACCTTTCCTATTTAAAAGAATGTCTAAAAAATTGTTCAATTGAAAATTGTCCAGTCAATGTGAATGTATTACAAATCACATTCCCAGTGTACAAAGCCCAGAAATGGAACCTTTTCACTAAAAATTACAAGCCAAAGAGGTGCTTTATACCACTCTAAAGAGCAGGATATGACAGTAACATTTTCAGCAGCCTCTCCTTGTTCCTAGATTTTTGTTGTTTTAAGGTGGAGTGTGAACAAATGTGAACCTGAAAGAGCCAGTCCTTCAAGAGGGATCCTAAGTGGCTAAATGGACCTAAATTTAAAACAGAGCCAAGTGGCCATTTGCTGACTAAGGGTCACACACATACCATGAGTTCTCTAAAAACTCACACCTTTTTATCTTTGGGACTTTCAGAGCTGTTCACCCACCTCACCCAATCAGGGCTTAGCTATACTGACCAATCATAACTAAGCAAGTTTCAATCCTGTATTTGCATAAACAGATCTGCTTGGGTACCTTGGGTGGGAACTTTTGCTATAAAACCTGGGCCTTCCCTTTGTTTTATAGAGTACCTTCTTTGATACCAAAGGGTGTGTCTCCCGGGTTTGTAAACTGTTCACTGGAATAGAGTCTCTTTTCTCCCAATTCCTTGTCAGAGAACTCTTGTTCACAAGTGAAAGTGTGATTTGGTACTATTTGGAGGTTTGTTTTCATTAAGAGGTTTTACGGGTGGGAAGGTCAATTCAAAGTTCAACAGAACTACCAGTAATTTAGCCTCATAGCCTATAAAGGAAATCCCAAACAATTGCTTGTTTAACTTTAGGTTTCAGAAAAAGTAACTCTACACATGTACAACTATCAAAGAAATCATAGGAGTACATTATGTCTAATACTAGCTGATTCTGCTCTGCTCCTTTGAGCTAAAAATCAGGGTGTGGAAAGTATCTTTATTACATAGATCCCTTCTTTATAATGGTCATTCATTTGTAATAATTTTTTTTTTTTTTTGCCAGAACCATTAGTATAGATTTTGCAACTGATATGAAATAAGGGGGAGTCCTGGTCTCCTCCAGTGGCTCCTCTTCCATAAGCTAGCTAACTTAACCTAACTCACCTAGCCTCAGTCAGGCTTCACTCAGTATTGTCAACTGTAAAAGACGCATGTTAGCTTCAAATACTTTCAAAGTCCCTTCCAGCTCGTAACATTCTACGCTTTTATAATTAAAGAAAGGAATGAATTATCCTATATTAATGACATAAGGACTAGTGAAATAGGAAACAATATTTCTAAGATACAATAATGTACCAAAACTTCAATAAGCAGAGTCCAAGGGAACAAGTAAGATGTAGAATCTATCTCATACATGCCTCAGCAGGAAAGCCCTAGGGAAATGATTCAACATTCAACAATCTTTCTTCCCACAGAGCATATACTCAACACATTGTGTGGTAAGTTGAATATAGAAGAACAAAATTTTAAAACAAAAAAGCTTTAATCTCCACAATCTTTGTTTAAGTCATTCCTTTTAAAATGTTCCCAAAAGCTACTTCTAAATAGAGGAATTGGGTGGCAGTCCAGGGGAGAAGGAACCACTACTATTCTCCTGAGAGATGATTCATTTCCATCATGTTTTAACAAAAAGGTACGAATAACTCCCAGTATCCTCATGAGCACTTCCTACCATAAAAAGACTGTGTTCACTTCTGTCCTTATTTGCCCCGTTGTATGACATGTATTAAACCTGTCGATAAGCTTGGAAACTGACAACCAAGGTCAAAAGACGAATGAATTGAAGAAATTCAATTAACGTTTTTTGAAAAGTAGGACAACATTGTCCCAAGGTGTGGGGGGAGAATAAAAAGCTACTATTTCTTAGTGTTCCTAGCAGTGCCCATCACCCCAATACAAAGCTCCTGCTATTCAGAGATTTAAGTATGTTTTTAGCCCATCTACATTTCCTTGCCAAAATACACACCACGCAGTCTAACACAGGCTGTATCTGCTAGACTGGTAGTGTAGCAACTGAATCCCGGCAGCACACGGAAGTAGTGTCCTGTAATGAAACAGTGCAACGTGTCAGTCGGCTTGGGAGTTTCTGGAGTGCCAGCAACTGCAGCAAATCATCACTCTCCAACATGTGGGCCACAAAATCTGAGTTGGGGGCGGGGGTGCCGTTGTTTCTTTTTCCTCCACGTTTTTTTTAATGTGGGGGCGAGGAGGAGTCGGAAGTAGACTAGATAATGAAGTCCACTCCAAGACAGATAAGGAACTCCTGGCAAGCTAGAGTCCCTTGGGATAGGATGCTACTTTGAAGGCAAGAGGAATAAGTTTCATTCTCTGTAACCTCACTCCTTGACACTGATGAGAATCATTGTTTCTTCGCGGAAAAGGCTACCTGCGCTTAAATTCCTTTGCCCCCTTCCTAATTACAAGTTCCCTCTGGGGTTGGCAAATTAGAAAATCAGCAAAAGGGCCAAAGGCTGGTCAGTGCCCCTGAGATCGGCAAGCACTTGCCAATTTGGGTTGCCCCTCCTTTCCAAGATTCACATACTAGTTCTGAAGTGGGAACCGCGGTGGAGCCGGAGAGGTGCAACACTTACCCCCGTTCACCCCTATGGACGGCTCCAGCTTAGCTCCGGCGATCGCCAGGACTATTCCGACCATGAACCATTCTTTCCTCATTCTCTCCAGCAGCCTCATGTTTGTTAGGGTGGGTGGGTTTTGTTTATTTGTTTGGCTTTTTTTCTTTTCAAATTGCGATTGCGCAATCCCCGGGGCGTCTCCACACTTTCCTCAGTCCCTCCAGACATGCAGCGGAGCAAGTCAAATTGCCACTAGTAAACTAAAGACCTGAAGGTTGCTCCGGCGGCTTTGAGAAGGGCTGGGAGTAGTAGTATCCAGTGACAGGAAAGTCTCACTGAGCGCCGCCATCACTACCACGCGCCTCCTAATAGACGCGCACCAACGCCCCTAGCACCTCCGGCCGCGGGTTCGCAAGGGCAGATACTCTGAAACAGACACTTAGGCCACGCCGGCAAGAGCAGGCGATTGGAGAAGAGAAGCCGCTGGCTGAGGCTGATAGACCCACCGCCGCCGAGACTTGCAGAACCTTCTGAATGACAGGGCCGGAAAGAGTCGTAAGACGACCCAGCCACTCGTGTTCGCCGAGGCTCCTGCCCCACCGAACCTTTACAGTACAGCCGCCCGCGCCTCTGGAGTATAGCACCAAGGAGAGCCTCTCTTTTGCTCTTTCATGAGCTCGTGGTGAGGGCTGGAGTGCGCCTGGGGCAGAGATTTCTCTGTTGGAGCTGCGGCGGCGCGGCGAAGGTTTTATTCTGGCGCGCTTCTTCGAGCCATTACGGCGTTTCCCCGACGACGCCGTTGACGTGTGCGCGGGGGGTGGCGGGGAAGGGGAGGCCGTTCTCTGTCTCCGCGTTCCCAGCCCGAGCGGCCGGAGTTAGACGCGCTCTGCCGTCCTCGCGGGAAAGCGGCTGCCTCTTTGGGGTAGCTTTAGCCCGGGAATAGGTTGCAAAATCGGGCCCAGGCAGACGCCCAAGTTCTCAGAACCTCCGCTTTCCAGGGTCCTCTGACCCCTAGGAGGGCGGGCCGGACCTCGCCAGGTCGGTGGCCTGAGGTGGGCGCTCTGCCCAGATCCCCTCCGCTCCCCGGTCAACGCTGGCCCCTGGGAGTTGGGGGAACTGCTGGGGTGGGGGCAGGTCTTCCTCTGGGGACAGTCAGTGCTCAAGTCCCCTTCCCACCGACGAAGCTACCCGTGGGCGGAGTGAGGTCTGTGCTGGCGAGTCCCGAGGGCGCGCGGGCGCCCAGTCTCGCTTGACCCCCAGAGCTGCCCACCCAGTGCGACGGGAAAACTCTGCGAAGGGGGACGGGGCTTCCAAAGCAAAAGCGGTGAGGGACCGAGTCTGAGGGGTAGGGGAGTCCTGCCTTTCCTTGCCCCACGTACTAAATTCTATCCGTCCTCCAGTTTCTTCCTTGAAGTGTTTTGTGGCGACTGGTGACATTCATAGTTTCATGAATGGACTTCCTACCGGTAGACCCTGAAGTAGCATCAACTTCTCCTTATGATGCACCAAAATAAGTAAAGAAAGAAAATACCATGTGACATTTTGAGGTAGCCTGGTATCTGCCATTTAAATGGTTAAATATAAAACTTAAGGTTTGGAAGGGATTGTTTAGTGATGCCAGACTTTAAATCTGGATTTATTCAAAGCTTGAAATAGACTTGTCATGTAATTTAACTTTATCTTGATGATGTGACTTGCTATCCAAAAACCAAGGCACTTTAAGCAGTTGTGCTACCAGTTGTAAGTTACCCAGTACCAAGTGTCATCTAATTATTCATCCAGCACCTTAAAGAAAAGTTAATCTCAAGATAAAAAGAACTTGATAGGGAGACTCAGATAACATTAAACAATTTACCCTGAAAAGAGAGAAGCAAATGAGGTGTGATAAAATTTGATGTCAATTATCAGGCAGTCACAGGATAAGTGGAGAAACATGAAAGATAGTTTACAACACAATTCTTTTCTTATGGTAGTTTCTTAGTAAATTAAGGAGTCATACATTTTAGTCATTGAAGGGGTACTTTTGTATTAAAAGATTGTTAAATATATTTACTGAAATTAAGCTGGTTTAACTTTATAAAAAGTTCAAAAATTCTTATTTACTAAGAACTCTTTGATATGTTTAGAGCAGAATCCATCTCATAGAAAGATTTTTTTGTTTTGTTTTTAATAGTACTTAAAGAAAAAATATAGGGCACTCTGAATTCTATTCTGTTAAGGCCTATATTAGTTTATTAATACTGTGGCTACTGTAACAAATAACCCAAAACTGGATTCCTTCAAACAACAGAAATTTATTCTTTCACAGTTCTGGAGGACAGAAGTCCAAAATCAAGATGTTGGCAGGGCCATACTCGCTCTGGAGGCTCTAGGGAAGACTCTTTCCTTACCTCTGACAGTTTCCGGTGGTACATTCCTTGGCTTCCTTGGCTTTTGGCTACAGTGCTCCAATCTCTGCCTCTATCTTCATATCACATCCTCTTCTCTGTGTCTTTCTAGACACACATCACTCCAGTCTCTGCGTCCATCCTCTGTGTCTTTTATAAAGACACTTGTCTTTGGATTTAGGGCCCAACCTGATAATCGTAACTCATCTCTCAGGATCCTTAACTTAATTCCAGTAGTCCACCTTATCCTCAGGGGATACCGTCCAAGACCTCCAGTGAATGCCTGAAACTGCCAATTGTACTGAACCCTATATATATGGTGGTTTTTCCTATACATACCTACCTATGATAAATTTTAATTTATATATTAGGCACAGTAAGTGATTAACAAATACAGTCAGGTGTCACTTAATGTTTGGGATATGTTCTGAGAAATGCTTTGTTAGGCAATTTTGTCATTGTGCAAACAAGATAGAGTGTGCTGACACAAACCTAGATGGGATAGCCTGCTACACACCTAGGCTCTTTGGCATAGACTATTGCTCCTAGACTACAAACCTGTACGGCATGTTACTGTACTGAATACTGTAGGCAGTTGTAACACAATGGTATTTGTCTATCTAAACATAGAAAATAAATAGCTTATAATCTAGTGGAGAAAACAGATACAAACAACTTGTGACTTGTGGAAGGAAAAAAGCAGGAAGTGGAGAATAATCTAGGTTGGGGAAGATGGATATCTCTGAGATCCGAAGGATGAACAGACATGTGGCAGAAGCTATTGCTCAGGCAAGGAAGAACTTGACACTTCATAGAATTGAAAGACCAGTGTGACAAGACTAGTCAGTGAGGGCACAGTGGTGTTAGAAAGGTGGGAAGCTGGGTAGAGTTCAGATCACGTGAGACCACTCATGTTGTGGTAAAGGATTTAGATTTTATTAAATACTGTAAAAAAGCCACTGAAGGATTTTAAGCTAACAAGGGCATCTTCAGTTTTGCTAAAGGGATTATCTTAGAAGTAGTCTCTGGAAAAAAAAATAGTTCAGGAAGAAGTGAGTAAGCCAATGGAGCTGGAAAAGGCAATTAGTATAAGAACTGTTAAACAGAAAGAATCAAAAGTAAACCATCAGTTAGCTGTAGGGGAACAGAGAGAAAGTTGAAAATAACTCCCAGGAATCTGTTTGACAGATGCTGGTGCCTTTCCCTCCACCAGCGAATCTTTACAAAGAATATTTGGGAAGAAGATCTTAAATTCAGTTTTATACATCTTGAGTTCAAGGGCCATTGGAACATGTAAATAGAGCTGTTCAGAATGCAGGTAAAACAGAGGTTTGATCTCATGAGAATGGAGTTAAGCTGTAGCTCTGGGATTCTTCAACAACAGATTATGAAAACCATAGGCATTGACTCTGTATTCTGACACACCTTGATCTACATATCCAATTTGATCTTTGGTTACCCCCTTCTTGCAATCTAAAGTGAGATTTCCTGCTTTTGTAATTTCTCTAAGTGTTGTTCGATTCCCCAGGAATGCTCATCCTATTTCTATAAGTCCAAATCTAATTGCACCAAGCCTTTAAGTCCCTGCATAAATGTCTTCTTCACCATCAAGCTTTTTCTGATCATTCCCAGTTATGAAAGAATCATTCTGTTGTCTAACTCCCTAGCATTTTATCTCTATCCCTTCTAGACTGTGTAAACTCATTAAAGGAAGGCTCCACATCTGATTCATCTTTTGATCCCACCTTGATACTCCAAATAGCCACAGCAAAAAAAAAAAAACTACTTGAATGTATAATATGGCTTAGCTTTGCTTTAAGCATAGGTCTCATGTATGCAAAATTTTCAGTATGCCTCAAATGATTCTGATGTAAAAAAAAATCCTTATTGCATAAGTTATGATACCACTGAATAAATCTTTTCACATTTATACACTGTGTTTTAAAGATATGTTTAAACTCCCTTGATTCCTTGGAATTTTTGTTTGGTTGCTTGTTTTGGTTTTGGTTTGGGGACTTGTGTTGTTTTATTGTCCTAACATTATCAAACTGGATTTTTTTTAAAATCAGAACACCAGGTTTTGAGGAAAACCACGAACTCTGTTTTGGACTTGTGTAGTTTGAGATACCTATTCTACATGTGCATGGTAATGTCAAGAAGGCAGCTAAATGTGAGTGTAGAGATCAGACGAGGAGTTTCGGCTAGAGCCATACATTAGTAGCCATCAGCATATAGATAGTACCTAAAGCCATGGGATTGAATGACCTAAGCAGTGAATGTTGATGAAGAAGGAGAGAAATTGGATAGAGGATCAGGATGCTGTTAAGAACAAGAAAAAGAAATAGCCAGAAAGGAAGAAGAAAATCAGGAGAGTGTGAAATCACAGAAGAGAAGGGAGAGAGAGTGATGGAGGAGGGAGCAACCATCTGGGGTGAATGCTACTGAGAGGATTTGATTACGTACAGGTTGTAAGTGACCTCAGCAAGAGCAATTTTAGTTTCAAAGGTGGGCATAGAGGCTGTGGTTGGCAGCTTCTAACGAATTCCTACCTCCACACCCTTGTGTAATTCCCTTCACTTGAGTGTAGATGAACTTACTGACTTGCTTATAATAACGAATCTGACAGAAGTGATCAGATGTCACTTTCATTAGGCTACAAAAAGACTATGACTTCTGTCTGGTTTTTATCTGCAGGCTTGCTCCTTTGCTAAGGGAAGCCAGCTGCCATGATATGAGCTGCTCTACACAGAAGCCCATGTGGCAAGAAAATGATATCTCCTTGCAACAGCCAGCCAGGACCTGAGGCTTGGAATAAATCCTCCCACAGTGAAATCTTAAGATGTCTGCAGCCCCATCCTACACCTTGATTGTAGCCAGAGGCATCCAACTAAGCCAAGCCGAGATTTCCTTCCCACAGAAACTGTGAGATGATACATGTTTGTTGCTATAAGCTGCTAAATTTGGGGGTAATTCATTACACAGCG